ATAAATCATAAATCAATTTCTTGTATTTTCCTTTGGTAAAGAGAGTCACAGGTAGAAGATGAATGTCCAACATGTTTACCATCAATGGATCTCCATAAGTTAATCTTTTTCAATGTTTCTCGGTCTTTTATCTTCTTAGTTGCCTGCTATGTTCTGAACTTGTGCATGAATACGTTTACTATTCGCATTGTTTACTACTCGCATTTACCTGAAGGAGAAATAATTTATATTCTATACAGAATAAAGTTTCACACATGATTTAAAAATGTGTCAGTCTTGCAAATATTTTGATACTTAAACTTTAACAGTTAATACGATTGTTGTGCCCTGTGACCTATTTTTTCATCTGAGATGACCCATATATTCGAAACCTAACCTTGTATGGGAGATAATTATTCAAGTTAGGAGAAATACAGTACTGTCAAGCTTTTTAAATTTAACACTTACCAAATCGTCTTCTGTTTCACTATCAGATTTACCTCCAACGTCCATGAAGGGTGCATGTGATGAAACTTGCCCTTTTGCCGCTTTTTTGTCAAGTCATAATACATAAGACAAAAGTCATAATACACAAGTCATTAGTCATAAGACAAAAGTCCTAAGACAAAATGGCACTTATGGGCTTCCGTAATTTTAGCACTTACCAAATGATTATCATAGCATTGCAAAACATAAAACAAGATTATATTTGTGAAGAAATGCTATGCCACTGCATTGATACAACACTAAATATTAGGAACAGAAGTTAATCATAATTATTCCAGAAAATTAAACTTTATTGCCATAATGCAGTAGTGTCTAGTGAATTTGGGGGTCAATGTCATATTTCAGCATATCATGTGAAGACAATGTTATTGTATTAGAATATTTCTGAAAATTAATTCATTTTCTATTCTTTGATTATAAACTTTGTTAACTCGTAGAATAAATTGTTTAATTGATACATACACAGTTTGTGTACAGATCCACAATCCGTAGATGAATTTATATTTTTATTTTTTATAGTTAATTTAATAAGATTTCATTTACATTAGGAAATATTTCTTTGCAATTTCATTTGCCGTAATGGAAAATACATATATTAGGGCTAATGTCGATAAGTAATAAAAGTATAGTTAAAATGTGTTGGGGTTAGTTTTTCGAGCTAGCTATGAATTTATTCAATACACAATATATCGTGTGTTTTATTTGCATTTTAATTACATAGGGCCATATTTTGTAAACGTTCTGCCTTTTAATACGCTCTTCAACATTGTTTTCTACAATATGCTTGCAAAAGCATGTTTGAATTTTAATGAAATTTTCTTTTTACCCGTAACATAACTACTTCTCCCTGGGAGATATTTACAATACGACCTTTATATAAACTGATTTAGTATCTGCTCCAAGGTTCTGTTATCTATACACCCTTTATCATGGATTCAAATATCTACAAAAATACCGAGTGACATATTATGATTTTCTTATGTTATTTCTCGGTTGTTACCTTCTTTCATGGGCAAATTGGGCATTCTTTTATGATTAACGATAGACAAAAATTGCCTTAAATATATGGAAGGACATATCTACATAACTTTGATCACACATTTTATTAAATGTTTCTAGTAGTAAATTTGTAGTTTTTTTTATAATAATGAGTCTATGAAAATTAATACCTCTAATTTATTCATACGAGTACAACTAATGTATGTCTCACAATAACCATTACCTCACAAATTATAGTAAATATCAAAATTATCTTGATTTTCTAATCTATCTGGATAAACAGAATATATGCATAATCTTGCATAATTCTTGCAAAGCAAATATGGTAAAGTTGATAATTAAATGTCTTAAACACATGAAAGTATGGTATTTCAACAATTCTCACTTACCATCAGTTCATGGCCACTCTCTGACATAAATGATAATGAAAAAAGACTAGCCTTAACACGTTTCATCACATAAACCGCGGCGCAGGAATGTAATAAATAGAGGATATTAATGAGTGTAAGTTTATTACTGAATTTATTGAACGATTTGAAACAAATAATATTATGCGAGTTCAATAAATTTAGTATCAAACTTACATGAATTTAATATATTATTTTATTGATCACATATCAAATAAACACCGTTTTGAAGTAATAGAGAACCATTTTTCATTGACGCGCCTATAATATAACGCTAACATTTAGCGCGACTTGACGCTATGTTTACATAACAAAAATGACGTCACGTCAAAATATATGCACGGCCGTGCAATACCATTTTTACGGAGTCATAAAAGCGGCACGGGTATGTGATCAAGCTTTTTAATAAAAACGATATTACACTAGTGTTATAACACTTTGACGTGACGTCATTTTCGTTATATACAAACATAGCGTAAAAGCGCGCTAATGTTGGCGTAAAACAATAGGCACGTCAATGAAAAATAACTCTTTTTAACAGTTTACCGTTCTTATTTTAGATATGTGATAAATAGAATATTACATTCCTGTAGATTCAATACTAAATGAATTGAACTCGTTGAATAAAACAATATTATGCTCGTCAGACGCTCGCATAATATGACTTTATTCAACTCGTTCAATAAATTCAGTATTAAACATACACTCATTCAATATCCTCTATTTACTGTTCATAGCGAGGTACGAAATTTGTTTTCAATGTCAATAGAATAAAGTGATAAATATTTTTTCATTTTTTCTTTCTTCTCTTTTTTTAATTTTGAAATACTTTACTTTACGGCCAATAATGAAAACATTGAAAGATCACAAGATCCAATCTGCAATTGAAAGAAGTCAATTGTGCTGCTTCTGCACATTGTCGTTGTAAGCTTTATAAAGTCAACAAATGATTCAGTTAACCATTCAGCTTTGATATCAATTTGTGTAACTACCACATGCCGTACGCTTTATTAACAACGACAAACTGAATACATTTAAAATAGTTTGGGCTTGTTGAACTAGGAGGATTAAATTAACAGAGATAATGTGGTGGATAAATGTTTTTGTGTTTCTTATTCTTATGGCTGTACTATTCAGAGCTATCGAGTGGCTTTTGCAAGAGATTCCGTCTGAAATAGAAACAAAAAATAAAGCAGATTTACCAGTGAAACAATCAAAAGAACCAGACGCCACCAAACAAGGGACGCTTATAAAACGAAAAAGGTGAGGGTTTTTTAAATAAGATTTTGTTTTTGTTTATGCACATGAAAATGTTTTGCAATAAATAAAATACTTTCGATTGATGTCTTTAACGATTACAGTGTAACTTTAGAATTCTGGAATCTCTGAAATCAGAAAAACTTTCGGGGTATCAAAATTTCTCCTGAATTACGGAACTTTTAAATTCTGAAGTCCTGAGAAATTTTCATTTTCATATATTTAGAAGTGAATGTTTCATTCGACTTAAATTCTAATAGACTTATTTTAAGAATTAGTTTTTTATTGAACAAACGTTATATATAAATCTTCAGTTTTTGTTATTTGTTAAAAAGCGAATCCCATTAAAAGCCCTACAAGGCTTAACACAATAGCAAATTTGTTAAAACTAAGAAAGGGTGATCTTTCCCGTTTTGTGCATAGTTTTGTACCCTCAAAAATGGGAGTAATTTTCAACACTTCAGTAAAACTTGCAACTATTTGTTTTACTTACTAGATATTTGTGTGCAGTTACCTGTATCATGGTACATGTTTCTAGAGAAGATTTTCGAAAGTCGTGACAATTGTTTATGAAAACGCCGTTTTCCGGACACTTTGATGACGTGTTCAAATCAATAAATGTGGCAACCTCAAACAGTTGTAGCATGGTTTCATAAGAACCCAAAGTTTAAAAGGACTGAAACTTTAAATATGATGTTTTTTCTCAGGTTTTTCTTCACGTTCCGGTGATTTTTACGATGCTTGTATAAGGCTCTTTGGAAGTTACAAAATTTCAATGTAAATCTCGTTCAATTTTCTACACCGCTTTAGCGTTACAATGGTAATTTAAATCGGGCTAGTATGGCTTGATATTAGTTTACGCATCAGGGTCATTGATAGCGACGTTTAAATGGCTCTTCCAATCGGTTTGAAATAACTGTCGATATTTTTTTATATGCGCAAATACCGTATAATTAGAATAAAACAATGAATATGTGCAAGATGTGTTTTGTGTATATTTATTGTTATACAATAAAACAATGTGAATACAAATCAGCCAACACAATGGTTTCTTGAAAACATGTAATTGGATTTCATATTTTAAGTGGGTCAACGATTCTTTCGAAAGAAAGGTCCAAAACCAACAACGTTCAATCGGCGTTTGAAATTTCAGTTATCAAAAACCTTTGCGAGTGCTGACCGATTTATTTCGAACGCACGTTTAAGTGATGGAACCATCAAATACGAGTATATTCCCTTTAAAGATATTAACATGAGTGCTGTGTTCAAGTAATACAAGAATTTGTAACAAAGTTACCAACGTCCCCTGCCTCAGGGAAGTTTTATATGAAGCATAAAAGTGTGCTATTTCAAAAGATTGAAGTATGGATCTCCAAAATTATGATCAATGCTAGATCTGCAAATGCAACAATAAAATTGCCACAATTGTTGCAAGTATTTACAAAATCCCTTCAAAGATAAGAAAGTTAAGTGCGACATTGACCCTGGAGGTAGGGGGTCTGAATGTTGCGCATGACATATCGTCTTATTATAACAAACAGTTGTGCCAAGTTATTTCAAATTTCTTTGATAAATGACAAAGTTATGGACCGGACACGAAAGTGTGACGGACGGACAGACATCCGCAATTACGAAATGGTACTTTTCCTCTTTGAACTTTTCAGCCATTTTTAGTCACACAAGGCCTAAAAAAGACACACAAATAAAACAGAATGAATAGGATCAAAGGAAATGTACCGTTACCTATCGTTCTCCAAGTCACACAGGTACCTCTAGGTTTGTACGGACAGACGAATGGACAGACGGACGGACAAATAGACGGAGCCTATTTCTATATCCCCCTTTTTTCTTCGAAAATGCGGGGGACAAAAAACGCGCATTATACGGGGGAGGCAATAAGAGCGACATGTGCATTGTTATGAGATAAATCACGCTACTGGCCTGCTTTGTATATAGAAACAAAAACACCGAAACACCAAAACTACTATTTTTGATGTATCAATAATTTCTACATTAAACTGGTGTGACATTCAAAACGTTAGTTATTCTTGTTTAAAATCTGGAAGTTTGAATAAATTTTCAAAATTATTTTTTCAGTTGTACATATTGATCTGTTCATTTGTGATCATCTTCCTTGCTATACTTAATTACCTAATCATGATGAAAAGTTGCAAACATAAAGCACAAGCTAAGAAATTGATGTCCTAGAGTTTTTCTGATAACTTGTTTTCTTCCAGTGTATTTCCAGCGCTAAGTTACGGCATGTTTTAGCGTTTTCTATTTTTCATTTTTTCAACAAGCTTGTTAATCATCATGTCAAGTAGTACGCTCATCATTTGCTAAATATTGTATGTCTTGAATCGGAAGTAAACATTATGCAAAGAATAAACAGGTGTAAGACTATATCCAGTAAAATCTGAATCAGTGGTAATCTGTATTAAGCAGTATCATGGCTTAAACAGCCAAGCTATAATGTTTGGTTATCAGTAACACATGTTTTAACCAACCTCCTTTCTTAAACAAAAAATATATAGCCTTATCTGGCGGCTAAGTTATTTGAATTATTTCATACCATAATAAATAAGCATATACTCACCTATCCCCCCGAAAAGTACGATCCTTTTAGACGTGATAAAAATTCAAAAATTCAACAACGGCCTGTTACATCCGATCTCTTGGAAAAATTTGCACGCGCCTCCGGGTTTGAGCAAACAATTTTCGGCTATATAATTTTGTTATCAGTTTCGGTAAAAAAGCAGTGCTTCCTTCACTAGGATTACAAAGGGGGAATGCCCATCATACATTGACACAAGAATTTACGTTTAACTGTACAAAATCAAAAGGATTATCCCTATATCTAAATATCTGTCTTTCAACATTAATTTCCTCACATTCTGTCGGTTCCAATAAAAGATCTATTTAAAAGTATATGGGACCAAAATGATTTAAAATCAATACTCACATCTAAGTGGTATTAAGCATCAATTATAAAAAGCAACTCAAGGTCTCATAAATCCTAGCTTAATAAATAGCTTACCCTTGTTTACTCGAAACTGACTAGTTTACTCGAAACTGACTTAATAATCTGAATACCACTTTACTGAAAAGTTAAGGACTGTCTTCACCGTTAGGTAGTTATATTGTATTTACTCATTGAGGGTGGGTGAATGTATCTGTTCTGAATACGGACAATAGATGCACATATATGTACAGGTCAATTTGTACAAATGTCCAAGTAATTTTGATATTTTACTCAAGACTACCAGATTTGTAGCAAGAAGCGATGACAATGGACCATTATTTTGACACAAAATACAATATGTAAAGCAAGATAAATAATTAAAGTTTAATTTAACACCTTAAACTTTCTTTTTAGATGAACATTACCATTTGTAACAAGTGTATAGACAAAAGTGTTCCGTAAAGTTTTCCAGGAACTCTTTAACAATTATCAATAAAACTCCTGACAAGTTATCAGAAGAATCCCATATCTTCCTTGAAATAATCCCCCCCCCCCCCGTGATAAGGCAGGTTATTGTTTCTTTCATCCTTAGAAAAACAATGGTGTTTTCATTGAAAGTTACATAGTTAAACTGTTCAAAACTGCATTGCATGAACATATAATGTCTTTATAACAGTGAGTTATTTTTTGACATTCTTAGTGCCGGTGTTTTTTTAGTTAAATTGTTGTTTTCGTCAAATTAATGAATGAGCATACTTTATATTGCTCATTTTTATTTCGTTTTTTTTTTTTTGGTTGGTGAACATTGTTATCAAATCTTAATCGAGAAGGTATAACAAACACACACTCACGCACACAAACGTGTTCGCGCACGCACACTATATCAGGTACGCAAGCATCTACGTATATGAGCTTGCATGTTTAATTATTTGAAACAAACTTATGATATTTATATCTTTTTACAGCCAAATTAACCATTCTACATGTATAAACCTGTTAACAGTAACAGTTAATACACCAACCTCTCATTGACTAACTAATTTGATTAAATGTTTTGCAAATATGTCCTGCTGGCCTCCTTTCCAGTGGTCCTGTGTTGGGGATACCAATCGGAACGTACTCGGCTATTATCTATAATAATCTCAGAGTAAATACGAATTGAAAATGGTTCTACAACGTGGTTTCATATTCAGAAACAGAGAGTGTAATTTTCGATAATATAAAAGGGCTGTGTATATTTGAATCCAGATGAAGATAAAGTCTGTTTCGGTACGATCATGATTGAAAATATATCTGACAATCATTTTTTAGTCCCCTACCGGTTTACCGGAGGGGACTTTAGGTTTACCCTCTGTCCGTCTGTCCGTCCGTCTGTCCGTCCGTCAGTCCGTCCGTCCACAAAACTGGATACCGCAATAACGCAAAAAGTACTGAAAATATTTTTATGAAGCTTGATATATGGATAGGTGGCAGTATGGAGATTATGCACGTCTTTTTTCTTTTCTTCCTATGTTGAAAATTCTGGTTGCTATGGCAACAAATAGACTGAAAATATGGCAAATTTTACACATAACCTGGATCCAGTTATAACGCAAAAAGTACTGAAAATATTTTTATGAAACTTGAAATATGAGTAGAGTCTGGAGATTTTGCACATTCTTTTCTTTTCTTCCTATGTTGAAAATTCTGGTTGCTATGGCAACAAATAGACTGATTTTCAAGATTCTGATTCTAGTGTTAACGTTTATTCACTATAAGTTCTTTATTTCTTAAGGTATTTTCTTCAAACTTTAAATATAAGTTTCTAGTCATCAACCACATCATATGTGACAAGTTATTCAACTCTAGCATAAAATTTATCAGAATTTCCTCCTTTGAACGTAGAATTTTCATGAAAAAAATATTGTTTTTTTAATAATTTTCTTTTTTTCTGAATGTATCTACTTCAATCTTCATATCTATGTTTCTTATTATCACTCAACATTTGTGAAAAAGTTCAATACTCTAGCAAGACTATTTCCAAAATTATGCCCCTTTTGAACTAAGACTTTGTTCGAGAAATCGGTAATTTTTACTTCAACTTTTTCAATCATTACTGGATTTTCTTCAAACTCCCACAATAATATGACAAGGTTTATAAATCTAGCATCCATATTTCTAGAATTATCTCCTATTATCTATTAACGCTTTTGTCAACATTCTTTCTTAAGTTAAGGTGTCAGTAATGATGAATTTATACAATAACCCGAACTAGATCAGTATTTACCATTTACTTGAAATTTTATTTCATTTTTTTCATTTTACCATCTGGAGGTCAGTGGCTTTAACATATCTACGAATATTTTTAAATTCAAAGTTGAAACATTTTCATGTTTAACTGATTGAATTCTGCTTAAGCCAGTGCTTTTTGCGTCGACGATAGTTTGCACTTGACAGTACCGTCCATGAACAGGCTCAATCAAACCGAGCCTGGAACAATTTCAAATTTTGCCGTTTTGAGCTTTCTTTAGGGATTCCTATTTTTCTCTATTCTAATATCTTAGCTGTAACACTGAAACCCCATTACTGTAACTCCCGATCATATGCTACTTCTTTTCTTCCGCATACTATCCAGGAGTGGAATTTTTTACCTGGACACACATAAAAACTGCTTCCACATTTAAGTTAAGTGTTTTCAAACACAAACTAAATTATAGAAACAAGTACAAATGTTGCTGCAATATGCAGCAATTGAGGGCTCCGCGCAAAAAATGCTCTCATTACAGATACCTTACCAAATCATTCCTATTCACAGGTCATTTTCTATTTAAATAATGTACTTTTGTACATTATTTCGGATGCTTTGTAAATTTGCACAATTATACTTATCGTATGCACTGTCCATGAGAGAGATGCCATATATCAAATTTAAAAAATATGCTTTCACTTATGCCTGTGGTAGGGTAAGTAAATCCAATACAAAGAAGACTTACAATACTTGTAATGTGACATGACAGTAGTGCAACATTGTTCTGTTTGTGTCACTACTGTAGTAAGTAATATAATATGATAAAAATATCAAAGCAAGTACATTTTCTATTTCACATATAATGCTATTCATTTTCTACACATAACAACAACTTATCATGGTAAGAAATATCCATATGTAAATAAGCCAAAACAAAAAACTTTCATCGACTTTATTTTTCAAATTGCCCGTTACATGTTTCGCTATCTTTATCAATACTTACGATAATATCCAAAATATACCTATAAAATCCAAAATATACCCCCAATATAGTATAAGTTTATTTATACTATAAAGGAGTTATTTTTGGATATTATCATTGATATTAGTTATTTGAAAGAATTTCAAGTTCCTTTGGTATTTTCTTTGGAACATACAAACTAGCAGTCAAAATGAACAAAGTTATTGGGAGGTCAATCTACTATTTTGTTGAATCGTCTGGCCTACCAGTGTGTTTACAATTCCTATCAATAACCATAAAACTGCTGTAAGATATAGTTGGTCCTCTCAGTTCCATTAAAAGTGTTTCTAAAAACAACTAGTCATTTATCGTAAGCTGAATTTCATCATTTGGTATTCTGATATATGTTCAAGGATAAATATAGGTAAAGCATACCGTTTTTTCATATCAGCAATTATTGTTGTATTTTATTCAAATAATCGGACGTAAAAAGTTACCTCCTACTTCACTTCAGGGTCGTTATATTTTTCTTGTCCTTCGGGATCATTGATTCCAGCACTTTAAGCGTTCAAAATTGAGTACTGCTCAAGCCGGTGCTAGGGGGCTTAAGGGATCTTACACTTTTTTATTATCCCTCATAAACAGACTCAATTAAAAAGAGTCTTCAATTTCCATTTAATTTTGGTAGTTTTAATGCTCCCGAGGGATCACTTTCTTCCAGATATGTGTACCTAGGGGCATAACCTGCACAAGAAGGACACCATCGACAATACTCTTCGTTTTTCTTGAATAGCAAACCATAATCATTTATTGTGACTGGCATAGTGTTTTCCTTCCGGCTGACAGTTAGATACATAATTTCTTAGTTTTGGATGAGCTTGTCCGCTGCAAATGCATTGACTTTTTAGCTTACCTGAGGTAGCTCAGGGTGAGCTTTTAGGATCTATGAATGTCCGTCGTCCATCGTCGTCGTCCGTCGTCTGTTGTTCGTCCACATCTCTTCTTTTCACTCTAGCGGTCACATTTTTGACTAAATCACCATCAAACTTTGTCAGGATGCTTGTCTAGTTAATTGGTTTGAGCATGGGTCATCTTGGATGAAAACTAGGTCACATAAAAATAGATTTTTTTTTGTAAACTCTCTAGTGACTACTGAAAATTGGTCTGCAAGCTTGTGTTGATGATTTCTATGTAAAGTTGAAATATGGGTTACCTGGGATCAAAAACTAGGTCACACTGCCCAATTATGGAAAATCTTTGTTAACACTCTAAAGTGGTCACATTTTTTTATTCAATTGTCATCAATCTTTGTCAGGATGCTTGTCAAAGTAATTGCTCGGATGAATACGATTGGTCAGGTGAGCGATATATAGGGCCATCTTGACCTTCATGTTTCAGTATCTAGGACGCAACTGTGAAACCAAGTTTTATTCAAAGACGAGATTGAATGTCTTATGCATTGGCATTATACACTTTTAAAAGCTCTTGATTTGACCCTAACCTTTGCTGTCTCTCCTGCATGAGTGTTCAAGTTTCTGGATACTTACCTGTCAGATATATTTACATGCCTATATGCACTTTGATTATATTTTAATCACTTATACATTAAGGTCGGCACTTTTGGTTCGGGATTCAGCTCCTGGCTGTAGCCATTAGCAGGGGCAACTCTGCCTTTGGTCTTCTTCTAGGACTTTCGCTCACATACAATTCTGCAGACCACTTTGTCACTGTGGGGTTTTATCACTTTACAGCTAGATCAGCTATGCGGATATGAATTTCTTAGGCGTTTGTTCCCTCCTGAGGATTTTTATGGTTGCTTTGAACTCAATATTTAGTATGACTTTCCATATCTGCCTCTTAGTGTTTCCCAGTAAGGGCAAAAATATACATGTAAAGTGAATAGCTGTTTTAAGTGACAAAGGTTTACCTTCCTCCTAAAAAATGAAAAACAAATCTGGAATTGCATAGAAAAATACAGAGATCTACGAATTTAACTTTTATGGATGTGCAAGTTACTGAAGATTATCGTTTTTTACCGCTTTGATATTGCTTACTGTACATTATCTCTGTATCTTCTTTTTGAATTTCTTTTTTTGTTGTTGTTTAAGAGTGATGGCGCCAGAGCATTCAGGAATAAATGAACCTGTCATATCAGAGACTTCCGAGCTTACAGATGAGCAGTCATACAGGGAATTGACTTTAATCACGAAAGCAGAATGTTGCCAAATATCAAGGTATGTCGGTTGTATGAAGAACATTACACCACACTGAATATGTTGAATATATGCATAATATTTTCATTCAGTACTTTTCTTTTTTGTTGGTCTAAGTTACAATGTAAGTGCATGTTTGCAAATCGTGTATAATAAAATAATTTATTTAAAAGTTATAAAAGAGAAAAAAAAAACAAATAGGATTTTTATTTATGCTGCTTTAGAATAATGAAATTAAGGCAATAATGCTACATGATAAATCGATATTCACATTTTATATTCTTTTTTTTCGTTCATTAACTTACAACAAGCAACATGGTTTTTAACCAAGATTACAGACCTAAACTGTTTCATTAGTTTTCTTTTACAACCACCCACGTCCTCCAAATATATTAAAGTACTTCGATCATGTAAGGGGTACAAATATTAACCAAAATTATTTTTCAATTTCCATACCGTTTCAGTGATCCACATTTAATGAATCAAACCTGTAAACTTATAGTACTGTTAAAAAAACGATGAATAGTAATGTTTAGTATATTCGAGTAATACTACAAGAGACCTTCAAGAAAACTCTTCACTTCAGAACTTTCCTTCTTAAAACACCTTGTATAGGTCATGTGGACTTAGTTCGTTGGAATAATAATTTGACAAATTGCAAATTTACTTTTTTTGATTTGTTTCCGAAAATTGAACGACATTTCTCTGAAATTTTAAAAATTCATTATACAAGTACAAAAGGAAACGAGATAATTATAAAATGTTTGATATTACAATTTTACATTGAATTTAAAACTTATGTGACACTATGTTTATTTCATTTTCGCTGTCAAGTTGAATCGAATGAGCAACATATTTCAAAAGACCGTCTGTTAAAATTGTGATTGACCGATAAAGAAACTACTCCATTTTTTTTCAAGAATTGAGTGTAACCGATACATTCTGAACGATATTCTTAGAATCAGATAAAGAAATATCAGACAGACAGACAGACAGACAGATATTTTATTTAGATTTGTACAAACATATCATCTACATACATTTATTATCCATACATATAACCTGTCTACGTGATTTACAAAAAATATAGTATATAATATAAAAAAGGTTTCATTCATTCCAAGGTTTACACAGTTTTTAGAATGTCATTGTCAAGGTCGATAGCAATAATTATAACTAATAGCATTTTGCGTAGTAAAAATATTAATAGTTTATTTTATATATTTTTTCTTTTCATTTCGAATTTTCAGCGACTACATTTCCGAAGAAACTGAAATATGTAAAGATGAAAAAGGTGTTCTGGAAAGTGTTCAATATGAGAGAACTTGTCATGACGAATCTAATAGCTGTATTGACAATCTTGAATTTGACGTACGTAATTTAAAATAATCCTTTTTATCCCCCGCCGAAAGGCGGCGGGGGATATAGAAATAGTCTCCGTCCGTCCTTCCGTCCGTCCGTCCGTCCGTCCTTCCGTCCGACATTTTTGTCCGGAGCATATCTCAAAAAGTATTTGAGGTATCAACTTGAAACTTCATAGGTGGATAGACCTCATTGAGGAGGAGTGCAGTGCACAAGAATGATAACTCTACCCAGCATAATTTTTTAGTTATTGCCCTTTGTTATTTTTCAAAATTAATTTTTGTCCAGAGCATAACTCAAAAGGCCTTTGAGATATCAACATGTAACTTCATAGGTGCATAGATCTCACGCAGGAGGTGTGCAGTGCACAAGAATGATAACTCTACCCTGCATAATTTTTGAGTTATTGCCCTTTGTTATTTTTCATACTTAATTTTTCACCTGAGTGGAGCATAACTCAAAAAGTGTTTGAGATGTCAACATGAAATGTCATAGGTGGATAGATCTTATTGAGGAGGAATGCTGTGCGCAAGAATGATAACTCTTTGCTATATAATTTTTGAGTTATTGCCCTTTGTTATTTTTCATACTATTTTGTCCGGAGCTAATCTCAAAAAGTATTTGAGATATCAACTTGAAACTTCATAGGTGGATGGATCTCATTGAGGAGGAGTGCAGTGCACAAGAATGATAACGCTACCCTGCATTATTTTTGAGTTATTGCCCTTTGTTATTTTTCAAAATTATTTTTTGTCCAGAGCATAACTCAAAAAGCCTTTGAGATATCAACATGAAACTTCATAGGTGCATAGATCTCACTCAGGAGGTGTGCAGTGCATAAGAACGATAACTCTACCTTTCATAATTTTTGAATTATTGCCCTTTGTTATTTTCAAACTTAATTTTTCACCTCAGTGGAGCATATCTCAAAAGTGTTTGAGATATCAACATGAAATGCCATATGTGGATAGATCTTATTGAGGAGGAATGCTATGCACAAGAATGATAACTCTTCCCTATACAATTTTTGAGTTATTGCCTTTTGTTATTTTTCATACTATTTTGTCCGGAGATTATCACAAAAAGTATTTGAGGTATCAACTTGAAACTTCATAGGTTGATGGATCTTATTGAGGAGGAGTGCAGGGCACAAGGATGATAAATCTACCCTGCATATTTTTTTAGTTATTGCCCTTTGTAATTTTTCAAAATTAATTTTTGTCCAGAACATAACTCAAAAGGCCTTTAAGATATCAACATGAAACTTCATAGGTGCATAGATCTCACGCAGGAGGTGTGCAGTGCACAAGAATGATAACTCTACCCTGCATAATTTTTGAGTTATTGCCCTTTGTTATTTTTCAAGGCCATTTAGATATCAACATGAAACTTCATAAGTGCATAGATCTCACCCAGGAGGTGTGCAGTGCACAAGAATGATAACTCTACCTTTAATATTTCTAATTATTGCCCTTTCTTATTTTTCATACTTAATTTTTCACCTGAGTGGAGCATAACTCAAAAGTGTTTGAGAGGTCAACATGAAATTTCATAGGTGGATAGATGTTATTGAGGAGGAATGCTGTGCGCAAGAATGATAACTCTTTCCTATATAATTTTTGAGTTATTGCCCTTTGTTCTTTTTCATACTTTTTTGTCCGGAGCTTATTTCAAAAGTATTTGAGGTATCAACTTGAAACTTCATAGGTGAATAGATTTTACTGAGGAGGGTTGCAGCACATAAGAATGATAACCTACCCTGCATTATTTTTCAGTTATTGCCCTTTGTTATTTTCAGCCATCAGTATTCACATAAGTTTCGAATCTGTTATCACTTCAGCCATCAGTTTTCATTACCAAAAGACCTTAAAATTGAATTATTCTGCTCTACTACATATACATTATTCCAATGAGCAAACACTTTCGGCGGGGGATGGCCATGTTGACATGGCTCTTGTTATGATTGTCTTATTGTATGGTGCGTAATACTGAAGTTGTATTGTAATGCGCTTTAAACTTAGACAATCTCTGGAGATAACATTTTTCAGGACATAAAATACACTCCAAATAATGTTTTAAGTAATTGTCCTAAAAAGAACATGTAATCGATCTAAGATTTATATCATTATCCCTGATAAAATAAAAAAGAAAGCAATCCGATTATATAAGCTGAACAAACTTTATTTTCTTTATCGTTAAATAAACTTAAGATTTCAATTACATTTATTTTACTTATCAACAGAAATTTCGTTCATTTGTTGATGGCAATCAGCTGAAAAAAGAGATGGAAACTTCGGGAGTGTTAAATGGCCTAAATAAGTACATAGCCAATTCGTTTGACACGTGGAATCAACGTGAATTAAATGTTGCTGTGTCGGGTTATTCTGGTGTTGGAAAATCCAGTCTCATCAATGCCCTAAGGCATTTAAAACCAACGGATGAAGGTGCCGCCGCTGTTGATGTTGTTGAGACAACGAAAAATGGCTGTAAATATACATATCCTAAAAATCCAAATGTAGCTATATGGGATCTACCTGGCCTAGGTACACAAACATTCAAAAAAGATAAATATTTGAAAGAAATGAATATCGCGCGTTTTGACGTAGTATTGATCGTTTCTGCCGGAAGATTTTTTGAAAATGATATATGGCTTGGAAAGGAATTACGTTCCTTACGAAAAAATATCATCTTTGTCCGAACAAAAATTGACATTGATCTTATGAACGCTAAACGAGATCATCCACGCTCCTTTAATGAAGGCAAATGTTTAGCTAAAATTAAAAAAAACTTATCAGATTCAATTCGTGAAGGAGGACTACCAGCTTTAGTTTCAGGTGTTTTTCTGGTAAGCTCTGCTGAAAGTGAAAAGTACGACTTTAATGATTTAGATAAGAAATTAAAAGATATGCTAAGCACCAAAGGTAAAGCCATTAGGTGTTTTCTACAAAATTATGTTGAGATAGAAATTAACAAAAATAAAGAAATTAACAAGAATGGCTTTCGATTCGAAAAAGCTGTTTCTATTTTGTTTGGATTCGTGCCCACACAAGCGCTTACAGAAACACTATGCCAAAAGTCATTATCTAATATTAACACTACTTGCCAGCAAAGATTTTGCATTGATGAAAATTCGCTTGATAAAACGTCTAAAGAATTGATAAATTCGGAGAAGGGTCTGAAAGGGAAACTCAAATCCTTCAAGAAAATCTTTACGCCTGATCGTTCTTTTAATTCTTTCCAGATTACAAAATTTTCTATACCAGTTCTTGGTATGTTTCTCTCAGCACACAACTCATATGTAAAAACAAAGAAGAATATAGATACGATGTGTGATGAAATGGCTGAAGACGTATTGAAATTAGTAAATTGTCGTCTAGAAAAACTTGAAAAAGAGTTGCAACCAAAACTATCCAGCGAATGATCTAAAACACAAGGTGCTGACCGCTGCTTCTAATCAATTTATAAAACAAAAATGGAACTTAAAAGGAAATAACGCTGTTTGTAAACTGTCTTAATGTAGAAGACCTGCACCCCGTTCAATGTTTTAGGTAGAAGATCATTTTATCAGACCCGACAAGTCACTCTGTCACGTGTTCACAGTTATGCAGAGAGTACAAATTTAAATCACTATTTAGTTATATTATTATTATTGTTGTCTTGGTTAGGTTCTGGTTATTAAAAGGATCCAAAACATAAAAAGAAACACCATGTAGCAGTTCTACTTAATATTATTTCTATAGATAAAACACCTGATATGTTACATATATTTTACATCATGATCAATGTCCATTCCACTTCACAAACTACTCCTCTCCAAACGTAAGATACAAGGTGATTAACAACAAGGTGACCTGTAAAATACATTACAAATCCTTACTTTATAACTTGCAATACAATACAATCTCTGAAAAAAATAATTCATCTTCTCAAATAAATAATACATAAACATTAAAGGATGCCTTTCATATAAAGTAAGTGGAATCTAGTGGCTTACACTCTTATTAACTAAACCTTAACATAGAAGGTTGAATATTACAATTTACAAATAAAGTTATCACCTGTTAAAAACAATATAGTCACATCATACATGTACAATAACAATAATTTAACTCACCAGTGTATGGCACTGTCCACAATTATAACTAACACCTGCACAAACTCTCTCAACCGCCTCCTCACACTGTGACTATCAGTAAAACTGTAAATTTAGAGGTTATATAAAAACATGTGATAAGATATTGAAGATATCAAGTGATATTTAGATTTGTTAAAGAAAGTAGTCCCGTACCGCCATTTTGATAGTTTCATGTACATAAATTCTATGTATTAAATAAGTTACCAAAAGCTCACGATTTAATTAACACTCATTACTGAAAATGGATGTAAACAACAGTAGGTCAAAACATACCTCTATACAATTAATCCATTTGACAATACACTTAACCTTTTCAACAGAAACAAAAGTAAAACATCCAAAAGATGTCAAACACATCTAGACCCCTCCAAAAACTTGAACTAAACTCAGCTTAGGCGGAAACGATGCCACGACCAATGAAAATCAAGAATTAAAAATAGAACCATTCAGGCTAAAAACTAATATATTTACCAAACACAGAATAACCCTGATAAAGCTCGGACCTGTCACATTATCTTAAAACTCTTTTTGTTAAAGATCTTGCACTGCGAAAAATATACTGATATACGGGAATATACGGTCCCGTATTTTTGACATATACGGGCGTGTACGGGATGTATTCGTCGAATATACGGACCAAGTATACGAGTCCGTATAGGGAACACCGGATATACGGGAAGTCCGTATATGCATCAGGCATATACGGAATTCCGTATTTGCCCCATATACATGTACGTATATTTGTCCGTACTTTTGAAGTATACGGAGAATAAAATCCCGTATACGGACTATATTAAGGTTGTTATCCCTAGTATACTATAAATATACCAAAGATATACGGGACCGTATTTTCTACATATACAGAGGATATACGGACTCGTATTTTCTACGTATACAGAGAATATACGGAACCGTATATTCTACATATACAGAGGATATACGGACTCGTATTTTCCACATATACAGATGATGTACGGAATCGTATTTTCTACATATAAAGAAGATATACGGAATCGTATTTTCTACATATACAGGGGATATACGGAATCGTATTATCAATATATACAGGGGATATACGGAATTGCATTTTTTAGTTGTCCACAGGGAATACAGACCTGTATTTTCTTGATAAAAGAAGATACAGATAATATCAAAAGCATGCATTTACATATAAGTGACACGTATATATGACCGAAATGCAGACTTGTGCAATAGAACATGTTTTATTACACATTTTGAATGGGAACTGTAAAGTCATATGCTTAAGAATTTTATCTTCACAATTGGAGTATTTCAAATAATAAAGTAAAAACCAAATCGAGTCACTGTTTATATTTATTATTTCATAAACATATATTCAATATGTATACATATATTAAACAAAATAAACATGTCTTCGCTACAACAGTCATATATTGTTGCAAGCCTTATTCCAGAGGGACAAATTAATGTAGCGTTGCAACGGAACGGCGATACACCGGTATGATGCGATACAGAGTCTTGAAATACGTATCACAGTGGAGAAAATCCGCACTGCGATATTTCCTTTAGAGATCGAGTTATACATGTACATGTTTCGATATTTTCAAGCCGTCACCTTTATGAATTGCATGTTGTTTAAATCTAGAACAAACTATACCAACTTGAAGTTCGATTCTATTTATCTTAACAATGATTTTTATGAGCCACTTGTATTACGCCCATAAAATATTTTAAAGATATTCATATCATTTGTTCGTGTTAACATTCACATATTATTTTAGGAAAATGAGTCCATAGCACAAATTGATTATTACAGAAAGTTTAAATAATAATCATTAAAACTAAAAATCCGTATTCACAGAAATCCGTCATTCAAACGCACTTAAATATATCAATCATCTATAGGAATGTTGCGTAGACCAGTGTGACGGTGTCTATTTCGTGACGTAGGAAATGTTATCTCCAGATATTACAATCTTCTTCGGCATGTGTGTATCTGAAAAAGATAGTTTAAAATCCTGTTTAAATAGTGTCATGAAATAGTTATCACAACTTTCAAAAAGTCTATACACAAGCATTTTTTAAGCGTATACATATATACATTTCTAACGCAAATTTCAAAATTATTTTATATTATTAGGATAAAGATGTCATTTATAAGCAACCAGTTACACAGGATTTAAATGAAATGATTAATCTATGACGGATGATAAGTTATATGTTTTTGTTATAAAACCTTTACGAATATATTTATTTCACACCTGTAATATAAATGATAATGGTATCTTTGTTCTATGTAAAGAGTTTTTTATTGATTAAAAATATATTAATACAAAATAACATTGATTTGGGAAAAAGTGCTGACATAATCTTTTTGATCGTTTTATGATATATATTAGCATCGTTAGAAGGAGTCAATTCGTTTAAAAAAGGCTTAAAAAGTACAGATATTTGTTACTCAGATGTAGATCCATGTTTGCACAATGATATCCAGTTAAGTAAAAGGCGGAATACCCAGCTATATTTCTCATTTATATAGAAAACGTTAATCTTAACAAATTTGGATTATTGTTTGTTTCAATTTCCATTGTTTCAAAAACTATCTCAGCAACGAATGAATACCTTCAATATACACTAGTGTAGATTAATATTTTTTTTATTGTTAAGACTGTTTAACTAGGTAAGTTGACAATAGAATCTCTTACAGTGTGTCAGTGATAATTCTCACGAAATATAAATCAAAATATCTTCCCTTGCCTATAGCATTAATCTGATGGTATGAAATCAAATTCAGATAATAAAATATAGGTATCATATGTGACAATTGCATAAAATAACATAGGAAATATTTTAGTTAATACATGCGAATGCGACTATTACGTGCGCACGTGAAACATTTACGTATCAACGCAATATGTTTCACGTGCGCACAAGTACTGTGCGTTTAGTATGCTAATTAAGTGACGAGGTGGTCAAGTCCACTATCCAGGTGTAAAACAGCTATCATATTGTGTTAATTATCTACAAACAGGCTAGCTATAGAAATTAAATTATCAACAAATTAACCAACTCTCAGCGTAATGCAGTAGGTAAGGTTGTGGTTAATATCAATGCAAGACAGCTAGACTCGGATTGCACCTTTTTCCCAAAAATATTGCTTTATAATTATCAATCAGGTAAGAAAGTTTTGTATCATTTATTGTAAAGATTATAAATCCTGTGATATTTTCTATTAACTTCTCATTTTGTTTTAAATGTAGCTATATTTAGCCCATTTTAGCAAGTTGGTGCAAACTTATACGGAATGCATGATACTGTACACAGACTGTTTCAACTATAGTTAAGTTTGCACGAAATACTATTGCACTGCAAAAGTAAAATGACTACTACACACTACACACTATACAGGATAAAAATCACTATCATCCGTGCATGTATATCTAAATTATTAAATATCATTACTGCCTTTCTATCCCAATTCATTTTTCTAATGTGACATTATATACGCTTTGAAAACCCTGTTTTACCTATTCAGACAAAAAATGTTGTTAACTTTAGTGTACATGTACAAAAGAAAATGTAACGTCACTCTCACATTATCAAAGCGGCGTACTTATCGCTTTACGCACGTAGTAACTAAAAAAAATACTATCATTAACATATGAGCCGCGTCACGACAAAACCAACATAATGGGTTTGCGACCAGCATGAATCCAGGATCCATGCTGTTCGCTATTAGTTTCTCTACTTGTAATAGGGTTGGTAAGCGAACAGCATGGATCCTGATCAGACTGCGCGGATGCTGGTCGCAAACCCATTATGTTGGTTTGGTCATGACACGGCTCATATATAAAAGGGATTAAACTGTAAAGAAATACATATTTTTGATACAGTAATATGTTTAAGAAAAGAAAACTAATTTAATAAAATAAAGTCGCATGCACAGTGCATCTATATCAAACCATTGTGTGTGTTCGAGTTTATTCTTATATTTAATATATTTGATTTTTGCATATTAAAAGCAAGCATGGTTTAGCATTTTCAAATGCGCGGCAAAATGCTTATATCATATATGCCTTAATTAACATCATTTTATGAAGTGTGACATCATTCCGCCTAAGAATTGATTCTAACAAGATATAAAAGAGAACCAATGTATTTATAACTAACCACATTTATTCTTGTCAAAATAAATGCGTGTAATTAAGGAAATTTGACTTTGCCTTGAGAAAGAATAAAACACATGATGTCAGTACAGAGTAGAATATATGAGTCTGGGTAACTCTTCTTTACAGACAGTACGTCCGTGTAATTGTCTTATTTTATTCACAAAACACAACAATGTATATACGTGAACTTACATCTATATAACTTGCTACCATACTTTGCTTCATCTACAATTGCTGTAAACAGGGCACAGCTGCATTTCTAGAAGATTGAACTGTCCTGAAAAATCATAATATAACTTCAGCATAAAATGATAAAGAGCACATTGAAAATATTTCATAAGTG